CTTTTTGGTGTAGGCCTCTTTGGGTTGTTTGGGACTCTGCACTTCCTGGGCTTGTATAACTATTTCCTTTGCCAGTTTAGGAAAGTTTTCTGTCATTAGTTCTTCAAATTGGTTTTTCATTCCTTGCTCTCTCTCATCTCCTACTGGTACCTCTATGATGCAAATTTTGTTATGCTTGATGTTGTCTCAGAGGCCCCCTAAAACTTTTTTTCTTTTTGGATTTTCCTGTTGCTGTTCTGACTAGATGTTTTCTGCTACCTTATCTTCCAAATTGCTGATTCAGTCCTGTTTCATATGATCTACTGTTGATTCCCACTAATGTTCATTTGTTATTATATTCTTCATGTCTGGTTTTTAAAAAGTTTTCCATCTCCTTTTTAATGTTTCCTATCTCTTCATCAAAGTTCTCAGTGAAATCACTGAGCATCCTTATAACCAGTGTTTTGAACTTTCTATCTGGCAGATTGTCTCCATTTTATTTAGTTCTTTTCTGAAGATTTGTTGTTTTTTCATTTGAGACATGTTTGTCTCATTTTGGCTGCCTCGCTGGTTTCTGTTAGGTAGAGCTGCTACGTCTTCTGATCTTAGTAGAGTGGTCTTATGTAGTAGGTGTCCTATGGGACCCATTGGTGTAGTCTCCCTGATCACCTAAGCTGGGTGATCCAGGTATGTCCCTTGAGTATGTCCCTTGAATGTGCATTGTTCTGAACTTTGATTGCTGTTGGCACATCAAGTGGGAAGGACTGATCCTCAGGCTGATTGGTTGTGAGGACTGACTGTGACGATAGTGGAGGAGCTGTTGTGCAGAGGCTGATCAGTGTAGCAGGATTCACTTCACCTGGGCTCTGGTGCCTGCCAAGTCTACCCTTTGGGTGTGTTTATGGAAGTGGTTGTGTGGTGCTTTGGTGTGGTCTGAAGCTGGCCACAGGGTGTGTTGGTTCTGGAGTCTCTTAGGTGGGGCTCCAGTACAGGCCAAGGTCAGCTGCTGCCTGTGCCCTAGCCAGAGCCACTTGGCATGAGCTACAGAGTGATAGCTGGTTACCACTTGTGCCAAGCTTGGAGGTTCCTGGGAGAGGTTAAGCTATGAAGTGAGGCTGGCTACCACTAGTGTCAGGCTTGGGGCTGCTCAGCAAGAGGCATGAGGCAAGCTAAGGCCAGATGCTGCTTGTTTGGGGTTGGCGAACCTTTGAAAGATTTTAGGAAAGCCTGCAGCATGAGCCAAGACAGGCTGTATAGAACAGCCACTGGAAACAGCTTCGGTGGACCTGATAGTTGGGTGAGGTTGGGTCTCAGGGAATCATATGGTGGGGGAAACAGTGTTAGCCAGGTTGAAGGAAACTCAAGATATGGTGCCACAATTGTGTTTGCTGGGTGGGAGGGCTCAACAAAGAACAATGGCTTCTGCCAGCACTTCTGTCTGGGACAAAGCTGCCCTTTCAGCCCTTGCTCTGAAGCCAGATAATTCAGTTCTTCCTGACATGCCTCTGGCATTTTCCAAGCTGCTGCCCCAGCGCTGGAGCTCAGAGCGAGTGAGTCCATCAGTAACTCTAAATGCAAGCCCTTTAGAGGAACACCTAGGACTCCAGAGGTCCTCTCTCTCAGCCACAATCTCTGCTGGTTTTCATGGCCAGAAGTTGTACAGACTTCTCAGTAATGGAACCCTGGGCTGGGGATTCTGGTGTGTGGCTGGGACCCCTCACTCCTCAGGGGGGAATCTCTGCAGCTGAGAGAGCCCTCCCAATTCTCACGTGGATGTGGGACCAGCCTGTTTGAGTCTCCACTCCTCCTACCAGTCTGGAGGTGGCTTCTGTGTGTCCTTATTAGGACTTACTTCAGCTAGACTTCAGGAGACTCTCAATGATGGTTGTTCTGTAGTTTAGTTGTAATTTTGATGTGGCTGTGAGAAGACCAGTATAGCATTTACCTAGTCCTCCATCTTGATTGGGGCCTCTTTTCCTTTAATTTAAATGTAAACAGACCCATGTCACAAGTGGCTACCATACGGTAAAACAAAGCACTACACTGTTACATATACCCTCATGATATAAAAATTTTCACCGAACACAAAACTGAAAACTGCCTGTTACTTTTTAAATTATAAGACGATCCATTAATGTATATATATTTTACCATCTGTACAGAACATATAAACCTATTTGTATGTATATATGCCTGTGTGCATGTGTACATCAAATAGCTATAAGAATACATCACAAGCTTGTAACATTAGTTGCCTCTGGAGAAAGTAAACTGGTAACTAGGGGTCAAATACAATTTTAAAATATTTTTAAAATTTTCAGTTAATGCTAATTTCGAAACCTTTCCCTAAATTTCTTTCTTGCATGATTCAAGTCAATGACTGACAGCTGAGCTAAATATTAACCTCTGCATATGTCTCTCAGGGAGCCTGTACTAACACATGAAAATAAATCTGGGAAGTGACAGACAATTCCTTGGTTTCCATATAATCAATGTCCCACCCCAATCTCATCCCACCATCCCCTTGTCCCAAGCAGTTCACGTTAGATCCAGCTAGATGCTTTGACTACTGAATTTTGATGTGGTTGTGAGAGGAGGCTTATAACAATGAACATTTTGTTTCTACTTTCTATAAAATATTACTTTTCTTGGGCTCTTCTGCTCTGCAGAGTGACTTGCTGAGATCCAGACTGATTTCAAATCCTGACTCTGCCCCATACCAGCTGAGTATCCTCAGACACATATATCTAGTGTATGTTTTCTCATCTGCAAAAATGCGAATAATCCGTACTTCACTGGCTCTTTGTAAAGATTAATATATTAATAATTAAATGGGTTAAAATATGTAAAATAGTGCCTGGTATAAACAACTCAAATTATTCTGTTGATAGCTATTATAATACAAACAGGTATGTTTTTACTTTAAAGTCTATTTTTAAACTTCTATAAGTCCTTAAAAACAAAGACACAATTCTGTATTTTGCTAGGCAAATTCTAAACTATAGTGCTTCTATTTTCAATACATTTTGATTTGTAGAACCATACCCTCTCAAAACAGCTGATCACTCTGGTTTAGTTTCTTGTGAAAAACAAATCAAAACAAAACTGGAATTCCTACAGAATTTGTATAGAATTCAACTTAGATCCCAGTACAGGCTTCTAGGATGTAGCTTTTGGAATTTTCATGTTTTATAATTTTTTAAATCTAAATATAGTATATAGACATCTCAAAAGAAATCTAGTTTTATCAAACTGTAACATCTATCACTAAAGGATATAACTTTCTAGATTTGTGCTTCACCAAACATATGACATTCTAACAGCATTTAATAATAGTTCTCTTTAAAATCTGATTATAAAATGATTAAAAGTTGCCATATTTTGGTTTTTTAACAATAAGAAACTTACAAACAAGCATATTCAATGAATAATAAATTCTGTCCAAAAGCATGGGTATGACTTTAAGTATCCAATTACACTGTTAGTTCTTAACACATGAGGTAAAGAAGAATTTATGTTCAAAAAAATATTTATTGATGGGGGTGGGATCCCAAAACTAATAAGTGAACTGCTCTCATTTACGTATGACATTTATTAAAGAAAAAAAGCATCCTGATCGATTGGGACCATCTTAATCTCAAAGCAAAGTCAGAGAGTTCAAATACAATCTGAGAACAAACATTTTCTTTTTCCAGAAAACCAAGTCTAGGAATGCTAGTAAACTTGAACGCAAATATAAAGACGTCCAGACCAATTCTCTATATAAATGCCTTCCAAAGTTCCATTTCAGAGACAGGGATGAGGGCTTTAGGGGCAACAATCTTTGAATAATCATTTTGCCTTCAATTCTTTGCTTCACTGACTTCTGACAGTTTGGCAAATTGGGGGTCATCACATTTAAAAGAAATGCCAAAGCTCAACAAATGCAACCTGAGCAAGATAGTATAAATTCCAAATGCCTGTGTAATATTCTGTAGTTCTCAGCATTCAACTTCAAAAAATTATCAGATTTAAAACTTAAACCATTTCCTTTAGATGGTATAATTTTAGCAAAAGCATTATCCAAAGTATGGGATAATTAAGGTAACACTAAAGTCATATATCCCAAATTCAATTCTTATCCTATTTTGTTATTCTGGGTTATTTGGTGTGTGTGTGTGTAGGATGATGTATGCAAAGACTACTTTTTTGGGGGGCCGAGGTGGTGGTGGAAATTTTCCAATCTGATCCTATCTCACTATTTCCACTACATGTTCAGGAATCTCCCTCTTTGGAATTGTATACTATTGGCCAGCACAACATAGTCCACTTAAAAGTAGGTCTCCATCCCTCAACCTCTTTTTTGCCCAACATTACTTTTGCAATTATTCTACTACAGAAGCTATTGTCCTTGAAAATATTCATATTTATGTTTATTCAAATGTTAAAAAGGCAAGACTTAAAGTACTAATTTGAAAAAAAAAAAAAAAACTAAAAAACCTAAAGAACTTTTTTTTTTTTAAAGGAAAGAACCCAAATTTTCCTGGTTCTAAAATCAAATTGGACTAGTTTAAAAGGAAAAAAAAATGAACCAGAGATGTCACGGATTAAAAAAAAAAAAAACACTAAGAAACCTAAAGAACTATCTTATTTTTAAAGGAAGAGACCCAAATTTCCTGGTTCTAAAATTCAAATGTGACTAGTTTAAAAGGAAAAATACATGAACCAGAGATGTCATGGATTTCCTGATTCCACAGAAATATTCAAATTGCTTGATATGCTGTACTTCTTTATGTCAAATTTTGCTTAAACTTTGAAATATCAGGTGCAGAACTAGAAATAAAAGACAGAAACATAAGCCTTCAATTATTATTTAAGTATGACCTCAATGAAATTAGATTAGAAAACTCACAGAAATATCAGAAATTAATTTCTTTTAGGGAATCCTAAAAAAAACCTACCACACTATCATTTGGAATAACTTCCGCACACCATCCTTGAGATATTTTTAAATGAGTTAATTATTCTTGTCCAGCTATATGAAATTTTTCAAGTAATTTTAATAAGAGGGAACTAGATATAATTTGGTACCTTCCCATATAGCTGTGACGTGGAATAACAAATGGCAGGTGGGAAAAGGAAGGGAGGAAGAACATAGGAAGTACAGAGTGAATAATAATGGGTAAAAAAGTTTCAGAAAAAGAAGTGAAGAATTTGAAACCTTGTATAAGAATCAAATTATACACACACACACACACACACACACACACACACACATATATATATAAAACAATTTATATCTTAAAAAAGAAAACTGGAATGTTATTTCGCTTAAAACATACAGCATGCAAAATGCTCTGTAATGGTAAAAAAAGACATACTCCAATGTAAATTTTCACAATTTTCCTGCAAATGACATTTCTAGATCAAAAATTACCATTACAAACCCTTTAACCAAATGTTAATTTTTGGTTCCAGCATTACAATTTGCTGTAATTCATAAACTTCAATCTCAGTAAGTTTTTAGACACTGACCTCACACACGTCCTTATGTCAAGCACTTAATTATCCAGCAAAGAGATCACTCAGCTTCCACTCTTTGCAGACAATGCTAACTGCTACCTGAACAATTCAAAGTACATATGATTTGTTTTGATGAATGGAGACAGAACTGCAGTTTTGTACTAAATTTTCAATTACCGAATTGCATGTTTTTCCCCCTATGATCATTAGAAAACTACTTACATGTTATAGCCATATATTATGCTAAATGCCCACTGCTAACTGAATAAAACTGGTTTTAGATACACTACTGACTATGATACCATATAAAGTCACGGCCACAAGCTTCTGCGTAAGAGATTTACTTTTCTTTCTCTTAAAGCAAGAACTATCCCAAAGTTCAGATTTACATAAGTAGTGCCTCTTTTTAAATAAATTAAAAATAAAATGTTGTCTTGTGTGTAAAATTATAAATATTCCTAGTCCACTTTACAGAATGTCACAGTACTTATAAATGCATTATTTCCTAGTAAATACACATGGCAATGAAGCCAGTTAAAAAACAAAAACAAAAAGCCAGTCATTATACTGGCCCATGGAAATATCTAGGGTTATTTTACCATTAGAAAAATTAAACAAGGAGAAAAAGCAAAGGAGAGAGAAGAAATTTTATAAAATGGCAACTCCTATGATCTAAATGAGTGTACTGAAATGCCTTCCTTCAATTCAGTAACTAAGCCAATTCTGGAATGAACATTTATGGATAACCAGGTTAGGAAAGTGTTCTTAGTGCTCAGGGCAAAATTACAAGGTATGCAGAAATATTTTCCACATTCTGTAAGGAGACAGACTTTGAAACGAAGTGACTATTAAAAACTATAAACCAAGATTTAGCCAGCATGTTCAAGATTGGTAGGTTCTGATGGAGTGAAATCTTCAGTGGAAACAAAATAAAGAATCATAATCCTATGGATGCTGCTTATTTTTACAATGTGAAGAAAGGAAACATGATTGCAAGGTACAATATACCCTGACAGGCTAAAATGAAAAATTATGATCAATTTAAGAAACTAAAATGGTTCCCACTAAAACATAAAAACATGATTTCCAAATTAATTCAACTTGTAATATGTCTCTCAGATGTAGTAGTTTTAGTTCTGTGGACTGCTGCATTGCCTATAAAATATTTCCTCCATCTCAAAAAAAAAAAAAAAGGAGGGGGTAGGGTAGGGTAGAGGCTTCTGAATGGCGTTGACTCCTTCAGTGTGGGAGAGAGTAGGCTTGACGAACTTGTTTCCAAAGCTCCCTCCAAGGTGATTCATTCCACCAAACCTACAATATCTCCAAATCTACATGTCGAACTTCCGGATTTCGTTTCTGGAAAATAAAAATCACCACATGTTATTCATAGCAAAACAGAATCTTCTGTTTTCTTTTATTCCTTTTGATCGCTAAAGCCATTAAAAACATTTGGTCAAACTATTTTCATTGTAACATACTAGCAAGAGAAATATTTGCAGAAGGAAAAAAATAAGATCAGTAGATGAATGGATCAAACACACTATAAATGATACAGTAAGTAGTTTCACCTCCCCGAGTTTGTCACATGTTCATGAATACAATAATGGGTTAAGAATCTAGTATATGCCAAGCACTGCAAAACACTGAAATTATGCTTGTTTGTGGTGAAAAGAAAATAACTGCAAAACAACAACAATCAGAACCAATACACTCATATACACTTATTTTAGTAACAATCCATATAGTCTTGGGCCAAGCACTGTGCTAGGAAGTGGAGCTATGATTATTAAGTAAGACTCTATCCTGACCCTGAGGGCCTCAGTTTAGCCAGAGACAAACAGCAATAACCATCTACGAGTTTGAATGAGGTGAGTTTTCCAGATAGATGATGAAAAAGGTCTAGACATAAGAAACAGCATGAGCAAAGTCAGAGAGCCTGGAAAGTATGTACTGGTAGTATGGTATAATTAGCACAGAAGCTGCAAAAAAGGCAAGGCTAGTAATGAGGCTGGAAAGGCAGGCAGAAGCTAGGCTGTGTAATAAATTCAATAACAACAAAAATATCTGCGCAAAATTCAAGGCAAATGCCAGGCACTGAAGTACACAACAATTAACAGGAAACAAATAATACTTGTTTTTGATGAACTTATGTTTCTCATTGTGGAGAAACAAGTCCAGATCCACCTTCCAAAATTATCTGTCTGTGGACAAAACAGTCCAGATTCACCCTCCAAAATTTCACCAACTAGGAAAGAGATAGCAAAGCATAAAACCATCTGACTCTCGCTTTTGACATTCAAGACGGTCTTCCTTTGCTATTTCAGTTTTCTCTTACAATTTCGAAGAAGGCTTTTCCCTTGATTTAGGGAACATTTTTATCCCACAGAAACGGCTTTTATTAGAGGTAGAAAGAGTGAGGAGATACAGGTAACTAAACAGGCAATTACAATAGTTTGCTACTACAGAGCAAAATAAAGGTTTTGGCTTTTTCGCCCCAAGGGTACATAAAAGGACACCTAACAATTTTGGAGGAATTAAAAGTGCAATAAAATGTAATATGATATTGTGAGAATGGAGGCAGAAGAGGCTGAATGTATAAAATAACTAAATCTACACCCATCAAAAATGAAATAATGCTTACATCAGGAGCAGTATAAGACTTTAAGTAAAAATATGGCAGTAAATATAAAACAAATGCAAAAAGTATTAAAAATAGTTATCTCTGAGAAACAGAATTAAGGACTGAGGAGGCTAGACAGGTAACACTGCTTTCTGTTATATGCTTTTTGGTTTTGTTTGACTTTATAAACTTTGTATATTATTTGATAAAAACTGTAAAAATAAATCAGCAAAGGGAAAAACGCTCTTCTATGTGATTCTAATACCCAGTCAGGATCAGTAATTTCTAGCTAAAAAATATCCTAGGAACATCTGCACATTACTCATATTAAAGGAATTCAGTTATAAAGACAAAACCTAGCATAATATTGAAGTTTAACTCCAGCCAGAGCATTCTATTGAGTGTGCACTAGGTTTTTCTTATAACTTGTGTTGTTCAAGTATACCTGAGGGAAATACTTTCTCTTGGATCTTGTAATGTAAAGAGTGGCCAGGTACCCCCAAATATGGGGGTACACTTTTCTTCTCAACGTTTTCTTTCTTAAGTTATTCCCTGTGTCTAGAACTCCTTAAATTCAATATGGAGTAAAAAAGATTTCTTCAAACAGAAATGAAACTGAATTTTATTTTCCTACTCCATTCAATCATTACCCATCCCAATAAGACTCGAAAAATTCTAGCTGTTCATGGAAAGTTTGAAATTATTCAATCTAAAAGCACTACATAACAACTGTGCACAAAATAATCTGATCTCAAGAAAAAGAAACCAAAAATTTACTCTGCTCTTTTAAAAATCATTTTCAGAGAGAAAATTAATCCAATTCCTAAAATTTTGTAATGCTGTAGTATCAAGTTAAGAAAATGCTATAGGAAGATGCAATTAGAGAAGCAAAAGGCAAAGTAAAGGGCAGAGTATTTAACTGGAACATTACTTATTAGGTATTTGCAAATCCTATAAGATCTTCCCACTGAATTTCCAACAGAATTACTTCCTCCCAAATATAAAAAAACTTCATGAAGGGATAGAAAGGGTCTATCCACAGACTGAAATGTAGAGGTAGAACAAAAAAACAAAACTTTTAACAGTTCAAAGAACTTCAAAATAAGAACAAGATATATTTCACATTTATAATATGGGACTTTATAAATTAGCTTCTATTATTTTGAACATCTTTACATAGAACAATGCAACATAGACTTTAAGCTAAAAATATCATTATTCTAATACCTGGATCAATGGCCTTCCTCAACAGAGATTGCTATTCTGCTGCAGAATTTTATCACTGTGTGACCTCCAAAGTAATTCAATAATTATTAAGATTTAAACTTTGAAGGCAACCATGCTTAGATACTAAACAGAAAGGAATGTATCAGTGTATAAAGTTTTAGTTTCAAAGAAAATCACCTTATTTTCATGACAAGAAAGAAAAGTTATATTCATGCATTCTTTGTTTGGTGCCTTAAGTATGAAGAACTTTCTCTGACCTAAGATTACTTAAATCTTATTACCTTAGTCAGAGATGTTTCTACCTGAAAATGTGGGTTACACTTGGCTTTGCAGTTTGAAAGACTTACATAATTCAGAAACATTTGAGATAGTTCGAACTATTAACGATTAAATAGCTTCTAATTAACATACAAAGCCAACAAAAACAGTAAGTTTATTTGATTATGATAAGAGTATAGCTGAGGATGATCCATTTGGGGTTTATTCTTAAATCTGGCTTATGATTTATTGTTTCTATTAGAGAATAAAGCTAAAATTTATAGTTTAAAAGTCCATTATTTTTCTTGCTAGGGAAATAAGAGAAATAGAATGGAAAAGCAAAGTTTATTCATTCTCGTGTCACCCTGCACAAAAATAATCACCTCACATTTTATTTGGAACAGTGGGTCTCAAAGTCTGCTTCAAGAATCACTGGGTTCTGAGACCTTTTCAGGGGGACTCCAAGGTCAAAACTATTTTCATAATAACACTGAGATGTTATCTGCCTTTTTTACTATGCTGATATTTCCTCTGATGGCATAAAAGCAATGGTGGATAAAACTGCTGGCACCTTTGAAAAATTCAAAGCAAATGGCATCAAACTATACTGGTAGGTAGTCTATTCCTCTACTGCCAGACACTCACAGTTTAAAAAAATAAATAAAGTAATTTCACTTTAAAATGTCCTTCATAAAGTAGTAAAAAGTACTGGTTTATTAAACCTGAATCCCCAAGTACACTTTTAAAAATACTCTGTGACAAAAATGGGATGTATAAAGCCCTTCTGCTTCATACTGAAGTCTAATGTTGTCAAAAGAAAAAAACACTTCTGTGATTGCTTGAGGTATAAGCTCAATCAGAATCTTTTTTTAATTTTAAATATCATTTTTACTTAAAAGAATAACTAAGAAACTGTGATTCAAATGTGGATATTTGGCAGGCATCTACTAAAAAATGAACAAAATGAGTCTGTTACTTCAAAGAATTTATTACTAATGATAAAACGCAAGCTTTCAAGTGAAGATTGGAATGTTGGAAAACTCATATCTACCACTGTGAGCCTGACAGCTTCTAGTTAGAAATGTTAACTTGAAAGATTTAAATAAATTCAGTCAATCAATTATCTTCCAAATGACCAATTCACAATGTTAAAGAGTCATGCATGGGTAAAAGATCTATTCAGAGAACAAAGATAAACCAACACATTTTAATATAATAGTGTAGAGAATTAATCATACCCAAAGAGAGATCTGGCCTTTGCTCTTGTCTACTGGGAGGTGTTCTCTAGGGCCCTGGAATACCCTGCTGGATAATTATGTTTACATTTATTTTTGGACAAACAGTATTTGCTCTACCTCCAAAAAGGAATGTAGCTGAAAGGTCATCTCAGGCAATCAGTTATACAGCCCAATAAAAATTTCTAGACACCAGGGCTTAGTTGAGCTTCCCTGATAGGCAATACTCCATGCAAACTGTCAAATACTGTTACCAGGAAAGAAACACTGTCCATGACTCCATGGAGTGAGGATACCTGAAGCTCAGTGTTTTGAACTCTGACCTACATACTTCTTCTCTTGGCTAGTTTTAATGGGCATTTTTTGTAATAAACCATAACTTTGAGTTTAACAGCATTCAGTGAGTTCCATGAATCCTAATGAATTTTCTAACCTCAAGTTCCTCTTAGGAATCCCTCGAACTTTGTTAGAAATGAGGATGGTCTTGTGGACTGTGCCCTCTAACTACACAAATGGCATATAAAAAGTTCTTTGACATAATTTCAAGAGGCTATCAGTTGTCAGGTTTTGGTATAATATCAAAAAAGAATATCAAATTATCTGAAAATGCTCTAAGAATACTTATAAAGGCTCTTCCCATTCTTCATTTTCTTCAACCAAAGCAATATATAGCAACAGACTAAATGCAGAAGCAGACAGGGAATCTTGCTTAGATTTTTGCAAAAATACAAAACAATACCATTTTTCTATTTTTTTCATTTTAGAAAATTTTTTTTGTTAAAATGTTATTTATACTAACATGTACTAGGTTTATTATGTTTTAAAATAAGTATTTTTAATTTCTCGATTTTAATTTACAATTTGGTAAATATCGAAACATAAAAATCGAAGAAATAAAAACTCTTTCAAGAATTGTTAAGAGTGCAAAAGAGTCCTAAGACCAAAAAAAATCTGAAATTGCTCATCTACAACCTTCAAAAATAATGCCCAATAAAGCTTGTGAACTATATTAACGTGAACAAAATCATCTTATTTGAAGCACTTCTATTAATCTTATCAGATACCTAGATTCAAAAAGAGAGTAAAGAAGTGTGGTAGAAATGTTTTCCCTCAATTTTTGTTTGCTTCCCTTCAATTTTTAGCAAAACTAAAGAATGGTCAACATAAACTAAAGAAAATGCACTGCCTTCAATAAGCTATGTATGTTAAAGATCATTTTTAAGTTATTTGCTGCAGACAAACAGAACTCGAATGTCAATAAATGACAATTTGAGAGCACTGAGACATTTTTAAGGGTAGTCTGATCAAATTGTATTTCAGTAAAATAACCAATAGATTGTAATGATCTCCAACTGAACAGAAACAAACAAAATATAAAATAATGTCAGATGGACTAAAAGCAAGATGTATGTGTATGTTTAAGGTCTCATGCTATTTTTTTCCAACTTTTGAAAAGTCTAAAGTTTCCCTTTTACCTTTCTCCAGAAACTTCCTAAATGCTTATCTAAAAATTAAAAAAAAAAAAAAAAATTTTTTTTGACTATTTTAGAAACTAAACAAGCAGTACAGAAAAACAGTGACTAAAACTATAGAATTTGGAATTCAGCAACTTAGGTTCAAAACCCAATTCCCTTACTTCCTTGAATAAATTATCCAACTTCTCTAACATGATCATTTTCTCACCCATAGCTTCTGATAAGATATATCATGAGTAAAATGTTAAACAAACAAACAAATAAATAAAATGTTAAAAAAAAGAGAGAGAGAGACATCATGGGTTTCCTGAGAAGTATACATGCGATGTAATTATCATAGTGTCTGACACAGAGTACTCGAAAAATAGACATTATTATATTATAATGAATATATCTTACTTTCAGTTCCTTCTCAAGTCTATCTACTTCAGCTCCTAAAGTATCAATAATATTTTCTCCATGTTTAAGCATAAAGGTCTCTAGTTCTTCAGAAGTTTTCACTTCTTGAATTTCCTATAAAGAAAATAATAGCAGAAAACAAAATAAAATTTTTAAAAATCACAGTATGTTGATAATTTCTTTAAAAAATTATAACACCATTAAGTTTAATGAAAAATGAAAAACTTTCAAGCAAACTTGTCAGAATAATAGAAATTAACAAAGAAGCAAGTAGAGGAAATCCCAAGTTAATGAATTTCAATGTTTATTAACCTCACAACTATCAGGGAAATATAAATTAAAACAAGATATGATTTCACACCTATCATGATGACAAAAATTTTAAAACTCTGTCAATAGAGTCTCGTAAGAATGAGAATAGAATTTTGATGCACTAGTGGAAGAAGTTAAATTAACTCACTTTGGAGAAAAATTTGCCAATATCTAGAGAAGATGAAGACATGTTCACCTAATGTTTCACTTATTTTAAATCTACCTATATATTTTCCCAAAGAAATTTTTGCACATGCAAACAAGGAAACATGTATGAGAATTCCATTGTGTATGTTTCTAATAGTTTAACAATGGAAACAATATAAATGTCCACCAACTGAAGACTGGATAAATTAGATATTCATGAGATGGAATATAAAATTAAAGTAAGTTAACTAAAAGTATACATATTAGCATGAAAGAATTTCAAAAACATGCTGTTAAGGAAACTGTAGAGGTAATCATATAGTATGAAACCATTTATATCAATCTTTAAAGATCCAAATGTTATTGTATATTATGCTAAGAAAAATATATTGAAAAGTATAAAAACATAAATAGAAATAACAGACACTAAATTCAGGATAACTGTTAGTTTTAAGGGTGGAGGAAAGAAAATGGGATCTAAAATGAGAAAACAAGGGTTTCAACTGTTTTTGTAATGATTTCTTCTTTTAAGATCTTAAGCAAATACAGTACAGTAAAATGTTAAGATTTGACAAAGGCAAGTGGTAACTTCTGCACTGTTCATTATATTATCTTCTATAAATTCTCTTTTAAACTATTCTTAATAAAAAAGCAGAGATTCTGAAAGCACAGAGATCTAAATTCGTATGTGACTCCATATTACGGCCCTGAAATTTTAGGCAAGTTACTTAATCTGTCTCTCAATCTGCCTACACATAAAAATGAAAATATTATATTTTTACCTCACAGGGTTGTTGAGAGTAAAAGTTAGATAACATATATAAAATGCCTGGCATATAACAAGCACTTTAATAAGTTTGTGCTTTTCTTGTCTCCTCCATCCCACTCTACAGTAAATAAAACGGTCTTTGTCAAATTTTGGAACCCTAAGAAGTTGAAAGCTGAAGTGACCTTATGAGTTATAAAAGAAAAGTTCTTTTTACTTAAAAAGTAATTTTTTTAACCATTGGCTTTATAAGAAAACAATAAATACATGAACTTACTTGCAGCATTTGGTCAAAATCTTGTTTTTCCAAATACGATCTTGTAACAACTCGTCCATCAAAATCCACTTCTGCCTTAAATCTTACTTTACCTAATCCCAAATCTGTGGCTTTAACATCATGAATTGCCCTGCAATCAATAACATGCTTACAAATTTATATACACATACATACATGCACAAACACTTTAGTGGCACAAAATCTAGAACTGTTTTTTCCACTAGTGTTGAAAATGGACTAAGACAGCTTTTAGAGTGTTTACCATTAAGTGCCACCTAACATTTTCCAAACAAATCTCCACCGGGGTGTTTTTACATAATGCTATACAAAGAGGTAAACTAAATATTATTTTATCGTAATTTGAATACATATGAATTATAAAGATGGTAGATTTTGAAAAACCAGCTCTAAATTGTTTTTCTACAATGTAGTCATTTTATCTCATAAACCTCTTTTCCTATTTTCAATAGCTTCTTTGAAAGTTTTCATACAACTCTGTGAAGTACTTTATTAGAATAAAGTTAATAACAACTACATAATAGGATTGATATGGGGAGTAACAAGCCAATACATATATAAATAGCTTAATATGGCACCAATTAAATGGAAGGCATTTCTTGAATGGCTTTTGCAAAGTAGGCAAAACTGTCCCAAATGGGGTGTAAGTGACTTGCCCAAGGTAATTCAACAGCAGAGCCAGGACTCACCCCCAGATCTTGAGATAGTAAAACCCAATGAGTGGTCTTTTTATTATACCATTTTGCCTCCCAGAAAGGGAAGCAGATGCTCAGGCATAACTGCTTTTCATCTCTTCTGCCCTAACCCTCCAGAATCGATCTTCCCCAAAAAACTGTTGAAAAATTACTTTCTTTCTATGGTAATCACTATAACATCTTTTCTTTACAGGATATCTAAGAGAATAAGAAAACACTCTGAATCCTGGGGGCATGGAGAGCTACCAGGAAAAAACAAGCCTTAAATGGTACTCCAAGTACTCTTAAAACATTTGACCCTGTGTTTTGAGTGATCTCAAACAACTTACTAAATAATGAGTCTAAAATTATCCATATAAAGAAGCATATTTATCAACCATCTAGGGTGAAAATAAGAATTAATGATTTATAAAGTTATATATGTCCAAGTTGACATAAAATTAGTTCATATTGGCAAGAGGCTATATAATTTATTCATTAATAAAACAAGCATATCTACCTCAGTCCTCACAAAATATTAATAAATTTGATTACTTGGCTAATACTTGAATAGCAGCTACTGAAAATATTCTAATATACTTTTTCCTTATGTTCTTATATATAACTAACTACTGATACAAAACTGGTATAGGCAGCTTCTGTCATGACTCCCTATGAGGCCTTGTGCAATCTTCTCTTCTTGAATGTGGGGGCTAGATCTACTGACTTGCTCCTTACCAACAGAAAGTAGCAAAGTGATGAGATGTCACTTCCAAGATAAGATTACTAATTTGTGATTTTTATCTACATCCTCAATTTCTATAGCCTTCTCAGCTTGTATACTTTGATTAAGCAAGCTGCCATGTCGGAGAGGCCAATGTGGAAAAACATATATATTAAATCCCGTCGATAATTAAGTGAGTAAGCTTAGAAGCAGAACCATTCCCAGAAAATGACCACAGTCCCAGCTAGCACTTTGATGGCAGTCTGTGAGAAATCCTGAAGTAGAGGACCCAGGTAAACATGCCAGATTCCTGACCAATAGAAATTGTGAAGTAATAAATGTTTTTTTAAGTCACTGAGTTTTGGGGTAATTTGTCACATAGCAATAGATAACTAATACATTGTATGAACTAAAAAACTGTATGAACTTTCTGGATTACTAACATTTATTTTTTCCAACAATTTAATATACAGATCTTCACCCTTCCAGAAAATTTAAAAAAAAAACAAAAAACAAAAAACTGCTGTAGTCAGTCTTTCCATTTATAGCTCTTTTTAAAAGACTTTAATTATAAACAATATATGCAAAATTGTAAATATATATGTACCTAATAACAGGGCACCAAAATACATGAAGCAAAAATTGACAAAAATGAAAGGAGAAATAGGCAATTCAATAATAACTGAAGACTTCCAATAATAGATAGAACAATTAGGCAAGAACATCAACAGGGAAATAGAAGACTTAAACCAACTAAATCTAATGGACATCTATGTAACACTCCATACAACAGCAGCAAAATATACATTCTTAAGTGCACAAGGAACATTATCTAAGATAGATGATGATGTTCTAGGTTATAAAACAAACTTCACTAAATTTAAAGAACTAGAAATAATAAAGTATGTTTTCTAACCACAATGGAATAAAATAAATCAGTTACACTGAGACATCTGGGAAACTCACAAACATGGAAATTAACACATTCCTAAAAAAGCAATGGCTAAATAAGAAATCAAAAGTAAGATTAGAAAATTCTTTGAAATGAATGAAGATACAACATAACCAAAATTTATAGGATGCAACAAAAGTAGAGCTTAGAGTGAAATTTATAATTATAAAAGCCTATATTAAGAAGAAAGATATCAAAAAACTTAATTAGCCATCTTAAGACAATAGAAAAAGAGCAAACTAAACCTAAAGCAAGCAGAAGGACGAAAATAATATAGTTAGGAGCAGAAATTCATGAAATAGAGAACAGAAAAACAGAAAATGAATTCAACCAAAAGCTAGTTCTCTGAGAAGATCAAGAAAATTGACAAGCCTTTAGCTAGACTGACCAAGAAAAACAAGAGAGAAGACTGAAATTACTAGAATCAGAATTGAAAGAGGCATTACTACCAAACCCAAAGAAATCAAAAGGACTACAAAGAACCGTTGTGTACCAACAAATTAGATAACTTAGAAGTAATGGACAAATTCCTAGAAAGGTACAAAGTACCAAAACTGACTCAAGAAAAAGACGACCTGAACAGAACTATAACAAGTAAAGAGACAGAATTAGTAATTAACAAACTACTTGAAAAACCTATGCACCCAGATGACATCACCACTGAATTCTACCATTTAAAGAAAAAACACTACTGATTCTTTACAAACTCTTCCAGAAAACAGAAGAGGAGGGAACACTTCCAACTCATTTTATAAGGTCAGTATTACCTTGATACAAAAATCAGACAGACATCACAAGGATGTATCTATAGATTATCTTACATTAGGTTACTAAATAAGCCTAACCCTGATTTTAAGAATGCTTAGTTTCTAATCTTGCTCCAGTTAGAAAACTACTTTTCAAGATTAAACATATAGGACTTAGAATATAAATTTAATAATCACTTGTTTTGCTGATTCAGATACAGAGGTCATTGTTAAAAGACAAAGATTTTAATTACAACAGAAGAAAAATTAATTTTTATTTTAACCCATTTCTCGTTTGCCCTGAGAATACTTATTGGTGGTGCTCGCGGCTACAGTGTTTACTCCAAGATAACTCACAGATTACAGTCCTAACTTTACCTTCAAAGTTTGCCATGAAATATCTCGCTTTTATTATTTTCACATCGCTCTAGTATATCAATAGTCTTTGGAAACCAATGACATCATTCTATTTATAGCATTCTGTTTTTAGCAGTAGTATTTTCATTTACAAAATATAGTAATTCTTGATCACTGAAAATGTCAAATTGTAGAAAATGTAGCATTCCTATGAGTGATGCTAAATTAACAGTGGCAGCAAGCTACACTTTTTTTCCTAAACAGGAAAAGGGTTAAAGTTTAAAATATATATGTAGCAAGTAGAAAAACTGGAATTTCAAAGAACTGTTCCTTCTACTTCACCCACTGCTGCTGAATTCAACTGAAAAGCACTACTAGAACTGCACTACTAGAACTGTGTCTTTTCTGACTGTCTAAATTTTTAGTTTTTTATTCTCATGTAATTTAAAAGATAAAATTTATAAGGAAAACTTTTAAAATAAGCTAAAATAATGAGTCTATTTTCAAAAGGAATATAAATTATATTTAATTTAGTTATCAATTCCCCATGAACAAAAATCTTAAATTTAATATATTCAATGTGTGATTACAATACAAATATAAGGCAAATACAAATATGAAAGTTCCACCTACATGGTTCTACATTAAGGAGGCAACTACTTTGCAAACTTCTGTTCCCATTACATCATCTACTGTTCCTTAATCTTAAAATTAAAGATATAAAAAATTTAAAAGGAAACTTAAGGAGTTTCTTAAAGGTTTTTACACTTGCTTTCTTGCAAGGTTGCAATTGTGAAAATTAATAGATTAAAAAGTTCTGAAGGCTAAAGCTCCAAAACCTCTTCTGGAAGTATTTATCAACCATTTCTATTTCTTAATGGTTTTGCAAACTTTAACAACATCACTGGAATAAGCTGACCTTACTGATGGGTCATTCTCCAGGAGTTCAGTAAGCCGTTGTACTTGTTCTGGCTGGATGGATCGCCCTAAGAGTGCTTCTGTATTAGTGTAGATGAGGAATGCTGAGACCACACCTAATAAGGTTCCCACACCCAAAGATCCCAGGCTGTCATACAGTGGATTGCCTAAATAAAGCACATAAGAAGTCAATAAATTAGCATGTTTTACTAGTTCAATAAATATTAGTGAGCAAATAACCAGAAGCAGTAAATCAAGGGACTTGAAATTCACTCTAATTCCTTTAATGACATTCTCTTAATAGTTTCACCACCATACTACAGAATAGGGATGAAACAACTTGCTTCATATTACATACAACTATTATGGGGTTTAATTATTTAAGATATGTTTCTTGCATCTGGTCATTACATGGGTAAGGAAGGGTGAAGGTTCAGAGCAGTTCCAGATTAGAGAATTCATATATGTATTAATAATTTAATAAAGAATTCATTTCCTTTAGCGATATCAGTAGCACTTTTTCTAGCCCAGGTTGACAAAATAATTGTGAGATCAAAAGCTGAAAGAAATAATCATTTTTGTGTCTTATTCTTAGCAAGGTCCTGTGAGAGAATTAAGCCATACAAAAAATTATATGGGTTACTTTTACTTCATTCAACCAAAAGTGATACATAGCTAATACCATTCTAAATTTTAAAAAAACAGAGAGTTCATTCATTTGCATTCTCAAACTGTGGTCCCTTGATTAGCAGCATCAGTATCACTTGAGCTTAACAGAAATACAAATTCTC